ACCTTCTTAGGGAGGCAGCTCTGACACAGTGCAAAGGGGCCGCGCGGGTCCGGGTTCTGCAAAGGGTGTCGATCAGCCCAGCGGTCCTTTCCCAAGGGAGGGGGATGTATTGCAGCTAAGGCTATGCGCACCAGCTCCCTTCGCCTTTGTGCCCAAAACATCTACAGCTCGCCTTCTCGGCTTGCGCGCGTAGCCATGCACCTGGAAGCCCGCGGGCGCCAGGCTGCCTTTTCCCATCCTTGCCCTCGCCTCATCGCCCGCTAGTATCAACCAGACGCCCAGCTCTCTTCCCAAGGTCCAAGCCCCCTAGGGCCAATCCGCGCGCCCGGGAGCCCCGCGCTCTCATTAGTTCGATTTATCTCCCGCATTTCCACGCCACGGGTGCCCAGCCCCAGCAGCCTTTGCCTTGGAGCCGGCGCCCGGGAACTGAAGAGTTAGGGATACCAGCCTGCCTCGACCGTCCCCGCTTGCGATGTCTAAGCCGGGCCGCTGTAGGGTTTACACCTGCGCCCGCTGACTACGACCCGGTACCCATATGCCCCAAGATCCGTGGGTTTCCGGCCCCGAGGCCAACCCCGTGCCGCCGCCGAGCCCACCTGGCCGTTCTTGCAGAGGTCCGCCCACATACTGGTGCCGTCGCCGCCGCGCATGAGAACGTGGTAGGTGAAAAAGTAGGTGCCGGGAATGTTGCACGTAAACTTGCCGCTGGTCGCGTCGTAGTTGTTGCCTAGGTTGGTGACCACGTCGTCGAACTTGAGCACCTCATAACCCTCGTGAGGGTTCTTGAGGCCGGCGTAGAAGGCCACGCGCGGCACCGTGGTGTAGGTGGCGGTGCTGATGGCACCGCTGCCCCCCGCGCCCGGCAGCCCGGGAGGGCCGATCTTGCCCGGTTCACCCTTCTCCCCCGGTGGCCCCACAGGGCCCGGAGGACCCGGGTCCCCTGGAGGTGCCGGCGTAAGGCCACGCGCGGCACCGTGGTGTAGGTGGCGGTGCTGATGGCACCGCTGCCCCCCGCGCCCGGCAGCCCGGGAGGGCCGATCTTGCCCGGTTCACCCTTCTCCCCCGGTGGCCCCACAGGGCCCGGAGGGGA